CACCCGCCACACCCAGCTAATTTTTTTTTTGTATTTTAGTAGAGACGGGGTTTCATTGTGTTGCCCAGGCTGGTCTCGAACCCCCAAGCTCAGGCAATCTGCCAGCCTCGGCCTCCAGAAGTGCTAGGATTATAGGAGTGAGCCACCACACCCAGCTTTTCTGGCCTTTATTGCTACAAATTTAAAAAACAAATGGAGAAGCTGAAAGAGAGAAAAAAATAGGAGAACAGAAAAGACATCAAAGGAATGATCCAAAGATGGAGACACAAGGAGGGGCCAGAAGAAGAGGAAATGAGACCACGTTGCATTCGTGTTGCTCCAGCAAACTCCTTCCGGGTTCCCTCCCACCATCAGCCCTAAGACAGAAGCGCTACCGCCAGTGGCCTTTGCTGACCCTGGCAGGGTTGGTGGCTCTGGCTGGTGGCTCTGGCTTCGGTGTCTTCTCGGCACTCCTGGCTTGCCACTGCTCTAACATCTACCATCTTGTATCGTCATTGTCTGTCTCTCTGAGTGTCTCCTGGCACGTGGAGTTTCTTAAACACCAGTCACCCTTGGCCAAGATGCCCCAGCACAGACAAAAGTGCCTGTACCCGGCCAGGCCTCCAAGGGACCCATGAGGGAGTGAGGACACCAGGGTGGAAGCAGAGAGGCACTCACACCCAGACCCAGTACCCGGCGGCCTTCACCCGTCCTGGAGTCCCCGCCCTCCCCGTCCCTAGAGCGTGGAGAAGATGGCATTGAGAGCTTCTGAAGGAGGCCTGGCCAAGCACTGCCCGGCACGTCAACACACCAGGCACCCTCCTCCCACATGCCTCCCTGGGCACAGGACATTTCTTACTGAATTGTTCACTTGTTTGCTGGGATCGTCCCACGTTCAGTGTCTCGTGACAGCTGGGGAAGGGGTCCAGCTCCAGAATGGCTGTGTCCCTCTCGAGCCCGAGGCAGGGCTGGCTGTTGCAGTGGTGACCACAAGCTAAGGCTGCCTGGCCATCTTCACATTGGATCTCAACCTGACAATCTTCAAGCCAGCAGGAAAGACTGTATTCTTTCTGTGCACAAAAATGAAAACTAAAGCTCAAAGAGCCTAAGTGTCGGGCTCAAGATCACATATTGTCCCAGAAACACATTCTCATTTAGTCCCGCCCGCCCACGTGGTGACGGGCCGCACACAAGCAAAGGTCTTGACTGTGGGGGCCTCACGCTTCCCACACTTCCGTGGGTGGCATCAGAAGTGACTTCTGAATTCTCATTTGCAGCTAAGAGATGGGCCTCCGGTGACCTTTCAAGTCATATCTTACCCAAGCCTTGTAAGGGGATCGGTGCAGAGCCGTTGTGCGTGTGAGGGGCCTTGTTTTAAAAGAAGGCTGAGACCCTGGAGGCCGCATGCTGAGGAAGTGGTCCTCATGTGTGGGCGGCCGTCCATCCCCTGGAGATGGATATGTGCTGGGATCTCTTCCCAAGGAGCAGCATCCACAAGTGCCCTCCACAGACCTGGAAGGAAGGACGCCTATGCCAGAGACGGGAAGTCAGTGTCCCTGAATAAAATTCCGGGTCTGAAATTAGGAGCTTGTACCTGGAGAAGAACGTGCAAACTTGGTGGCCAGCTGCATAGTGATGTTTGTAGAATTTCCAGCACTCCTCTATGCCAGACTGGAGCCACTTTCTAGAAGGATATTTGGGTTGTGTTTCGTAAACATCTAAAGCATCTCTTGAGCACTCTGGTTTCATGAGACCACTTTATCCTTCTCCTGTTTCTTAACCATGGGCACGGAATGTTCTGGACATCCCGCCTCAGGTGCCGTGTAATGTGTCCTTATGCCACCATAGCAAACACGGATGGTTCTGAGCTCAGGCTCTGCTGCTTGCAGCTGGACCATTCATCTGTAGATGGTTGTGAGGAACGGCACCTTCCAAGGCTGTTTTGAGACTGAGATTCTTGGCACTCAGAGTTGGATGCAGCACATGGAGCGAGAGCAGCTCGGATTAGAGGGCGTGTATCTGTGCACGCAGGGACCTCCACACACAGGCATGGATCAACACAGCTGTCCAAGACCCAGCCCCTCCATACCTGCAAAGCCAGGCCCTCTGCCACTTCAAGTCATCCGTCTCAGGACAGGGCTTGTCCTCACCTGTTTTCAGATTAAAATGTTAGCTTGCTTGTGGTGCCCTTTTAAGAACGGTGATCGGCCAAGTAAACTTGAAATCGAGGCTCCTGTCACAAAGGGTCTTGTGTCACACAGGCAAACGTCTTGACTGTAGGGGCTCCATGCTTCCCAGAGTCTCCTCCTTCCCCTGCCCCCAGTACCACTGGCCTCCATGAGGTGCGTCCTGCCTGTGCCGGGGCCGCCACTCTTTCCAGGTTCCTTAGCTGTCCCTTTAGACAGGGCTTCTCAGCCAGCACTGTTGAGGTTAGGACTGGACACTTCCTTGTTGTGGGACACCTTGTGTGTCATAGGATGTTTAGCAGCATCCATGCCTCCCGCACTGGATGCCTGTAGCACCAGGACCCCCGGGCATGACAGCCAGAAATGTCTCTAGTCGTTAGGAAATGTCCCCTGGCATACAACAGTGATCCCAGTTGAGAAGCACTGCGTTATGTCCGTCCAATTACCTTCCCAGAAGCATGGGGCCTGCACCCTGTGGAGCTGTGGCTGCATCTCCCTGAGCCCCTCTGTGCCCGTCTGCAGCCTGGCCTCAGTGCCAACTGGGAAAGAATCCCTTGGAGTGTCCCCCTTCCCCCGGTGCATGTACTTGACTGTGGGACCCCAAGATGAACCTGGCTTTTCTCAGTTCACCCCGGAAGCCTTGGCCAGCCTCAGTGCTGCTCAACAACACGGCAAAAGTCTCACTGTAAATAACGTCGCGAGAAAGTCATCAGCAGCCTGAGTCAGTAATGCTTCAGCACTGAAAAGTTCCCGGGCAGCTCGATTCAGACGACCATACTGAAATTATCTCCCTTCTCCACAGAAAGGGGTGGATAAGGGCACGGGAAAGGCAGCAGAACCCCATGGCTGGTGGAGGCTGCAGAGTCCACACCTCACCCTCAGTATCACCCCACCATCAGCAGCACCTTCATCACCAAGAAGCAGTTAATGAATATCCATGGGTGCTGTGCTGGGTGTTCTCTGGCTGAATAGATGGTTGGGGACCTTCTACCATGTGGATGGAGGAAGAAGGGGAGGAGGAGAGAGAAACAAAGCAGTGGACCCTGATCACAAGGGAATCATCTTCAAAAGCTAAAAAGAAATCACCAGACCAGGCGCAGTGGCTCACACCTATAAACCCAGCACTTTGGGAGGCCAAGGCGGATGGATCACTTGAGGTCAGGAGTTCAAGACCAGCCTGGCCAACATGGCGAAACCCTGTCTGTACTAAAAAAAAAAAAAAATACAAAAATTAGCCAGGCATGGTGATGCATGCCTGTAGTCCCAGCTACTTGGGAGGCGGAGACAGGAGAATCACTTGAACCCAGCGGGCAGAGGTTGCAGTGAGCCGAGATCGTGCCCTTGCACTCCAGCCTGCGTGACGGTGCAAGACTCCATCTCAAAAAAAAAAAAAAAGAAAAAGAAAAAAATATCACCAAACAAATGTATGCAAGATACCAGTCCATCAGCAAAAAATAAATAATATCCAGGCATCCGGATAGGTACCATTTGTGTAACAAGGATTAAACGGTGTGTACGGGATGACAGTTTTCTCGTTTCACAGGGCCAGAAGTCTTGTCCTTGGAAATGGGATTTCATAGTGCTATTAATAGACTCAAAAAAGAGAAAGAGCAGAATAGGAAAGGAGTTCCCTTTGCTAATACAATCTATTCTGAGAGATATTTCAGTGTGTGTGATCAGCTTATAAACTTTCATCCTGTTTTACCAGACGAACAGCTCATCTGCCAGTCAGAGCATTCTGGCCTTTCCAATTTAATTACACTTGTCTCTTTTTCAATTCTCATCTGGACCCCCTTCCGCCTGCTTTTTATTACTTTTGTATTTATTGATTGCCTGCAGCCTGTCTGCTCTGAGTTCCCTCACTTACTCAGTGCACAGGATGGACAGCACATTTTAATGTGACAGAACAGGCTTCAAACGTCAAAGCTGGTGGAAAAGTTTCCATTTCTTTTAAAATGTTTTCAGAAAGCAGACTGGTAATATTAAAAGCCTTAAATGCATTCGTTTCTTTAAGATTATAATTTCACTCCTAGCAGCCTATCATAAGAATAAATTCAAATCTTAGGAAATCATCTGTGCACATTTCAGTAGTACTTATAATAGCAGAAAATTGGAAATGTCCTAAGTGTACAGCAGTAGATACACTCATGATTACATTTTGGCATATCCACATGTTTGTTAAGTGATATTACAAAGATTTCATCATAACCATTGAAAGTTTTATATTATTCTGTGAAAAGTTAGTATGCAAAACCTTATCTGTGTTTTTAAAACAAAATAAAAAACAGCTAGAAAAAATTACTAGGAGGAATTAACAAATGTTAATTTTGGATATCTTTGGGTAATGGAATTCTGCGTGATTTTTTTTTGGTCTTTCTACTTTGTGTATCTCCCAAGATTTTCCAACTGCAAAGGACGAATGCTGGAGGATGAATTCTAAAAGGGCAGAGACACATGCAGTAAAAAATAAAGATGAGAGAGAATTCAATAAGATCACGTAAACACCTGCTTCCCCGTAATTTAAACTGACTTGAAAGACATGAAGTAGGATTGATCCTTGGGCACATTTCACTTAGATTCAGGATCTTACTTTTATGAAAAGATTGGTTGCTGCCGCCACCCTAGTTTCTTTTGTGAGAAGCGGTCAGCTGTGCACTTTGCTCTGATGAGACCATTCCGGGTCACGGCTTCCAGAGTGCGTGTAATCACCGCTGCATGTGCCTGGGGGAGTTGGTGCAAGAAAGAAACTCATGCTCAGAAAAGGCTGCGCTCGGTCCCCTCTTTAAGCTCTGTCCTGGCAGATGTCCAGTAATAACAAAATAAGGATGTAGGGTGTGGCAGCTGTATCTGAGAGGTTGCTGTGCCACTGTCCTTATCAGAGGCTAATGGCCATGGTCAGGTCTATCTCGTGCTGGAAGCACTCTGGCCCCTGCATCCTGGCATGCATGGGTGTTCAACACGAGCTAGCTGTTCTCCTCCTCCTCCTCCTAGCTCATCCCTTCCACAACACCTGCCAGGGCAGGACAGGGTCCTAAACCGCATGTAAGATGTGTTCGTCCAAACTGCCTGACCACAGGACCCCGCTCTGCCTCTTTTCTCTGCCGTACTCGGCGCCTGCTGGCCTGCCACAGAGTGTGATTATCTACCACATCTGTCATTCACCCGTCTCATCCACCAAATGGCAAGCTCTGTGAGGCAGTTTTAGTCACTGTTGTACCACAAGCCCATAGGCCAGTGGTTACACTTGACTGATGGAGATTTTGAATGAGGAAATGGACATGGTAGCAGGCTGCCCCGCTGGGGTGCTTCGCCATTAAGCCGGGTCCATCTGGATGAATGAACTCACTGTGCTCTGTGTTTCCCTGCAGTTCGAGATGCTCACGGGGTCCCTGCCGTTCCAGGGGAAGGACAGGAAGGAGACCATGGCCCTCATCCTCAAGTGAGTAGTGTGGGAGCCCCCACAGAGACCTGTGAACACCCTCTGATATCAAGAGCTGCTGCCTCTGAACCTGCAACTGTGAAGTTCTAATTACATTGCTAGGCTTACATGCCGAAGTATTGTAAGCTGTTGTCTAAAAGTCACGGTTTTACACAGAATGGTAGCGCTCTTCCACCAGTAGCAGTGGTGATAGGGTGCTGGGCATTCTAGTGACAGTGGGTCAAGGGAGCAGTTGCTGGTTTGGCTCATCCTGCTGAGTGGTTCTGGTGAACTCTTCTACCATAGGTAGTTTTCCATCAGTAAGTCACTTAGAGTGTGTAGTGGCTGGTTTTCAAGTGTGATGATTGGTGACCTCCCAGAAGTAAAGTGTAGACAGAAAAAGACACAAGGCCTACAGGGCCTTGTCCAGAGAGACCCTGCTACAGGGAAAGGAGCAAGGGTCTCCTTTCCCTCCCCACCTGCTGACCCCATTCTTACAGCACTCCTGGTTGACCTTGGCAGGACTCAGTATTATTTTACCATGTGACTGGTTACAAACCATTTTCTGCTTAATTCTCATGAAAAATCATTTACTAAGCCAAGGTTTTGCTCTCAGACTGTAGGAAGAAGCCTGATCCCCATGCCACCTTGCCATAGAATCCTAAATGTGAGCAGACACCGCTGACCATCACTGTCCCAGAGCAGATGGAAGGAGGGCAGGAAACAGAGAGGCTGGGAGTCCCTAATCAGTTCCTTCCTAAGTGAGGCCACTTGGTGGAGGAGTCATAAAGCCATTTGTCCTCATGAGCCACTCTTGCCAACTCTGTTTGCAAATGGACACGTAACTTTGATAAAATTGAGAATCACCTGAAACACCACCAGCTCGGCTTTTGTAAGCTCTGTCCTTATGTAGATGGAAGGAGAGAGGGGAGTGAAGGAAGCTCCATCGTGAGGATGCTTTTGTAAAGCTAAGGGGTGTCTTTTTATTTCATCAGCCTTTTCCTCCATCAAGGGACCTTGAATTGCAGCAGACACTAAGAGCTGCAAGTCAGGACCTTCGCGTGATTCTCGTTGTTCGAATTTTAAGGGAGAAAACACGTTCTTTACTTTTTCTAAAGCTGGAATAATCCCTGACAGCAAGTCACGGGTGTGGTGTGGCCTCAGGGCATTCCACTTGGGAGGGATGGAGAATTTCTGGAGGGGAGCACCAGGTTCTGTGCCCGGAGTTCTCAGTGTGCTCTGAGGACCCCGGTGGCCCTGAGACCCTCCTGGGGTTTGCAGGTCCTCCTCTCGCAGGTTTTCTTCATAGCATCGCAACAGACTGAGCACAGGGCAGACAAGAGGGTCCAGCTGTCTCCTATGAGCCAGGAAGAGACCCACCAAAATGCAGAATAATGCCACTAAAGGCTTTTTTATATGTTTGGGAAAACATAGATAATTTCCATTAGCAATGCTATTTATGTTAATGGGAGTGTTACCGTTTTTTAATGATTTTATTAAATAATACGTTTATTAATAAAAATATTTATTAAAATGAATTAAGAAATATAAATTATTCAAATTTCTCACTTTACTTTCTACTGTGGTAAATATCACAGCTGTATTCCACATAAACGAAAGCTCTTTGGTGTCCTCAGTAACTTTTAAAGCATAAAAGGGTCCTAAGACCCACATGTTAGAGCACGGCTGCTCTGGGTGACTGTGACTGAGGTCTCTGAATGCTGACTGGGGCCCTCTTTATAGCTTGTCCTTGTTCTCCTAAAATAGATCCTAAAATAGGATTCTGTTTTTCAGAGCCAAGCTGGGGATGCCGCAGTTTCTCAGTGGGGAGGCACAGAGTTTGCTGCGAGCTCTCTTCAAACGGAACCCCTGCAACCGGCTGGGTAAGAGTCCCCGGGACACCCCACCACCACCATGGGAACATGCAGGTGCTGCCCCCCAAGCCACAGTGGAGACGTGGAGGGCCACCCACCTGCTCTGGCCCAATGCTGACTGATGTCACTGAAAACAGACCTCACCTAGAGGTTGAATAGTACCAGTGCCATCTGAGCTCCAGGAAAAGAGGCCCCTTCACAGCTTCTAAAACGCATAGTTGCTGCCAAAATACCATAAGCTCTTTTCTAAAAGCCACTGGTTTTACCCAAAATGGTAGTGTTCTACCAATCTGACTTCCCTGAGTTTTGAAAGTCTATCAGCTAAGGACAGAACCGTTGAAAAGCTGCTTCTAATTTAATTTTCCCTAAATTAAGAAACCTCCCCATCTGTTAAAATCAGGATCTACTTTAATATTAACTACGGATTGATTTGCTTTTTGTGTATGTGACAGTGTATTGAGGGTTACTCCGTGGGCTGGGCAGGTCTTAGCAAGTGGGCGTGGCCGTGTTGTCTCAGAGTCAGACAGCAGCCGGAGCAGGGTGTTTCCGGTTCAGACAGCAGCAGGAGCAGGGTGTTTCCGGTTCAGACAGCAGCGGGAGCAGGGTGTTTCTGGTTCAGACAGCAGCCGGAGCAGGGTGTTTCCGGTTCAGACAGCAGCAGGAGCAGGGTGTTTCCGGTTCAGACAGCAGCGGGAGCAGGGTGTTTCCGGTTCAGACGGCAGCCGGAGCTGTTGCTTCCGGTTCAGACGGCAGCCGGAGCAGGGTGTTTCGGGTTATTTTATTACACAAGAAAACAAAAGGAACACGTTCTGTTCTGTTTTTTTGTTTTTTTTTTTTTTTTTTTTTTTAACTCTAACGTCACAGATAGAAGACATATCAGAGGGAAAGGCAAAAATTAAATCAGGAAATATTTCATTTCGGAAAAAATACTAGATTTTCCTCTGCGTGCCCCAACCCCAAAGAAGGATGGACCCATTTAGCTTCTTCCCCACATCAGCTTCCATTGCAGGGAACTTTTGCACTAATTTGCAATCCTTCAGTGATTAAAAGTGAAGCTAGTCAAAAGTACCTTCCTACTCCACAGTAATATTTTCACAATATGAGGTAACTGATGTGTAACTTTGTGATCTTAGAAAAAAGGAGTTAAGGTGATTTTTAAAAATCAACATCTACGTATTTAAAGTACTGAGTAGTAATTCCCATGAAATTCATCTTGTAATGAATTGTCATAGTTGTATTCACCTAATTAAACACATTTACATCCAACTTCTAATCCAGATTTTTACCACGTAAACCACTCTTCCTTCCTGCGGATTCGTCTTCATAGGAATTCTTTACTTTATGTAAGGATGTCCCATAGTTGTCTTTACGAGGCAGTTCTCCTCCATGTAAGCAGATATTTTAAATCCCACTTTACAGACCTTTCAGTGATCACCCACCGTCAATGCCTTTGTCCACTTGGCCTATTTCCATTCTTCCACACAACGCAGTAAAGCAATTCCTCCTTGTCACTGAGCACCTCTGCGTGCCAAGCGTGGCTACCAGGAGAGCAGGTGACATGGTGAGCTCCCCGTGGCGTGGGTGACATGAGAGCAGGTGACATGGTGAGCTCCCTGTAGTGTGGGAGCCATGAGAGCGGGTGACATGGTGAGCTCCCCGTGGCACGGGTGACGTGAGAGCGGGTGACACGGTGAGCTCCCTGTGGCGCAGTGATGTTACAGGATGTTCTGCCATCACTGTCTGCCAGTCACTGCGGGCCAGTCGAGAAAGCCAGGGCACGTGGGTGTGTCATCGCTGTCTGCCGGTCACTGCAGGCCAATCCAGAAAGCCCAGGGCACATGGGTGTGTGTCAAGAGAGTAAATCCCTGCAACATTTCAGCACCTTGGTAAAACCATCAAAATGTTAAACGTATGCACCCTTTTGCCCGGAAGTGTTACTGCCAGAAATCTCTCCAACAGAAATAGCCATACCCACATAAAAGGGATACAAATAAATAGTGTTTACCAAATATCTTCCTGTTTAACAAAGACCTGAAGATGAAGTAAGCCTCGATCGATAAGGAAGTCATTGAATCAATTACAAAACATCCACACCACGGCCTGGGGCTGGAGGACAGTGTCTCGGCCATGATTCTGCACCATCCGCATTTTGGGCTGGTTAATTCTTGTTTTGGGAGCTGCTCCGTGCATTGGGGCTGTTTAGCAGCATCCCCACCCCCACCCCGTGATGATCAAACATCTCCTGACATTGGCAAAGTCCCCCTGTTGAGAATCTCCACATTGCTGACATGGAAGGGCCAGAGTCTAGACTGAATTGCAGCCCGCATGGCTGGAGAGTGTAGACTCGCCCTGCAGTGGAGCCCGTGCCACCCACACCCCAGTGCATCTGTGCCAGGGCACATGGCACCATTGGACCCAGCCCCCAATGCCACCTGGCAGGGCCCAGTGCTGGTGTCTGTGGAAAGGACTGTGTCCAGTGCATTGGATGAAAACTAGCTAGTAGATCACTGCATACATTTTACAGCACTGTCCCCAGTCGAGGGTCTGAGAGGCTGGGGAACTGTCACCCAGACAGAGGCAGGTTCCTTAGAGGGATATTCGCCAACGGTGCTGTGGACAAAGCTGAAGGCCCCAGCAGAGCAGCCCCAAGTCACCGAGATGCCAGTTGGGGGCGATAATGAGATGGGAGGCCCAGGATAGAGAGTGCTTGGGACCAGAGAGGGGGACACCGGGTCAGGGTAGAGGGCCTGTGCTGCAGCACACACAGGGGCACTGTGTGCGTGTGTGTGTGTGTGTGCGCGCGCACTCACAGGTGTGTGGAGGGTTCATGGTTTGGAGGAACCTGCCAACCAAACAGAATTTTTGTCACATTGTTGTTACTAGGACCCCTCAGCAAAGTCCCAAATGGGACCTGAGATTCCAACCAAGAATCATCAGGACTCCTCCTTTTCGTCAGTGGTGACAGTCATAGTTAGCCAGGGTCACAGCCACGTTTCCAAGAGATGTGCAGCTCCTAAAGCTGTCTGTACCTTGGCCCTTCACTCACTGGTCCTGGTGCACACCCCCGATTACACAGTGACTCAGCTCAGGACACGCAGCAAGGGCTCAGCGCTTGCCCTTAGTGCCCAGAGTCCCTGTGTACACGGGGCCTACTGTGGACAAGACCTCACCCTCTGAGAGTGGGGTCCCCAATGGTGGGAAATGCAGCCTTGGACAGAGGGACAGCCTGGGCTGGGAGAGGCAGGAAGCGCCTGTGTCCCACCCTGTGTCCTAAAGTTGCCGATTCACTGCAGTTTTCCCAAATCTGGGTGTGGTCTGGCCTTTTATTTGCAGACCCCTGTTCATCACTGTATGTCTGAGGAGGTGGGGGAGGCGGTGTTTCTTAACTCTGAGGGTGTGTTTGGAGACAGACGCAAGTTGAAAAGCGTGTCCCTCAGCTAAGCCAATGCATGGCAGCGCCCTGGTTTGTCCAAATGCCATGTCAAAGGTCATGTTTCTGATCTGAGTCTTCCAGGTTGTGAATTAAATTGAGTCCCTTTCATTTAAGTCTCCGTCAGCAGTAAAAGCAATGCAGAAGTAACCCTTCCTAGACAGGAGGGATCGGGGGCTCACTGTCAGGGGCCTGCTGCCCAGCTCAGTGGATCTCAACCCACTTCAGAACATGCCTGCCTTAGAATCAGGCTTGCAATGCTGTGAACTACCACGAAATGCACAGAAACATCTTTGCATGCCATTTCTACTCGTCTCTCAACCTTGAAGGCTGCCCACTTCTAGAGCCCCGGTCTCATTTCATCAGCCTTTTCGGTGTCTGGTCCAGAGCTGTTCTTTTCTGTGACCCTGGGTTGCACCTTTATTGTGTCTGTGGCTCTCCCCTCAATGTTCTCTATGCTGCTGGGTGTAAGCACTGCCTCCTCCACATAGCTCTCGGAGGCAGGCCCTGTGGGCGGTGGGAGAGGGTGGGTGGACAGCTCCAATGTTCCCCTGCCTGGGCGGATTTCTAATGAACCTGGAGAACAGGTCGTTCTCCAAGCCTCAGGTCTCTCCCGGCACAGTGCTGTTGATGAGGATGAGAAGATGCCTCGGCACTGCACTAAGACAGTGCATCATCTGACTTGAATTCTCACAACAGTACTTCAGAGCAGGTCAAACAAGAAACTTACGAAATTCACTTATGAAAACAGGTGTATCCATAGGAATTACTTTTAGCTGCCAGGAATAGAACCGTTAGATAATTTTAAATTTTTTATTCAACTAATTTAGTTTTCCAAATCGCAGTTTCATTTTCTCTTATTAACGCAGTACGTGGTCGTTGATGAGTTGTAGACGTTGGCAGCTGAACTACTGCTGTCAGGAGCCCAGATCTTCCTGTGGCTTCTGTTTCCCATCCTCAGTTCTCTGCCGTTTCATCCTTATCCTTGGTGCCTTGTGATGACAGCGTAGCTGCAACAGCTCCTGGCATCACATCCTCTCTGCAGGAGATACAAAAAAAAAAGGAACTGGATGGGGCCAACTGCCTCTGTCTCCTTTATCATGAAAGCAAGGCTTTTCTGGAAGCCCCTGGGAGTTCTCTGTACTTCTTGCTGGCTGAAACCCTGTCCATGGCACTCGTGACACATGGCACTGTAAGGAAGGCAGGAGACCAAGCATCTGTGGTTGGAGGAAGGAAACGAGGGCTGGAGTGGCGGCTTTACTGGCCAGGCAGCTGGGCCGGCCACAGGTATTCCCTGAGTGTTGAGATCCAGGAAGGCAGAGGTTGTGTCTGGTTCATCTTTGTGTCCAGCTCCCAGACCACACAGAGCCCCTGGTGAATACACTTGAACTCAAGTGAATTGAAGGAATTGCAGTTGTTGTTTAAGGTGCTCTGAAAAGCTCCTCGCCCCAAAGTGTGTGGAGTTTGGTCGAGCCTGAGCCTTGGTGCTGCTGCTTCATCTCTATCCATTTTCCCCTCAAGTGGTAAAGCAGAAAAGACAGCACAGGTTTGCGGGTACATCACGCCTTGGCCCCCGCGG